AAAAATTGGTATCGTTGCATCCCTATCTAGAATGCATCTGATTGGCAACAGCTTTGTTGTTCAGCATGACAGTGATCACAAACACACTGCCAATGCAGTAAAAGTATACCTGGGCAGAAAAAAAACACACAATCAGGAACACATTCAATCATGGATTGGCCTCCCCAGTGCCTAGACCTCAACATTACTGAATCCATGTGGGATCATCTTGACTGAGAACAGAACAAAAGGCAGCCAGAATCCAAAGAAGAGCTGTGACTGAGCTTCAAGAAGCCCGGAGAACTATTATTAAAGAGTACTTACAGAAATTACTAGAAAACTTGGCAAAAAGAGTTCAGGCTGTGTTGAAGAATAAAGGTGGTCACACCAAATAGTGACTTTCAAGTTTGTTAGAGCTGTACAAACTCTATTTTTTCCTTATATATTCTACACTTCCACGAAACAAGGGGTGGCACCAGACTTTTGCACAGTATTAGATGCAAACAGATTTCGTTCTGTGATCAGGAGTTCTGCACGAACCTTGCGGTGTATTTAAAGATTACTGTAATAGTGACTGTTAAGAAACACATGTCAGAAAAGATTACATTAAAGCCTTTCTGCATCCTCGAGCTCGGTCGTTTTGAGGCGAGTAGGTACTAGCGCAAAGATTAAACACAGCTGAAGTATTTAAGAGGGTCCAAGATGGCTGCAGATTAGTAAAGCCAACGAGAGTGGAGTTACTGCCATCAGATACCTTTCGATTTCACCTGAATCTCATAGCTCTCAGGGAATATGTAGGTGGGACGGTAAGGGTTTTCCTCAATAGGCTCTATGCACAATGATGGAGAGACAGAGGACAGCATGACATAACACAGAGACACATATATAAAGACACAGGGACAGAAACAGACCAGGCAAAACTGATCAAACAGAGAAACAACACAGAGCAGAAAAAAAGAAACGACTTACCAGGTATTTTGTGAATCTGTTTGAACATTGTCTTATACCAGTCTTTGGACTTTTCGGTGTTCTGAAATTACAGTGTGGGAACAATTAATTCACAACCAGTCAACGTGAATTTCAGAAGAGCATCATCTGCATCCTTTTCGAGCAGGAAGACGTTCCCCTGTCTGAGTTTCTCAGAGCATTTTGTTTCATTTAATAAAGTGCAACAAAAAAGAATGACAGCATCTCATTTAACGTTAATTCTGATGCAGTGCTATTGTGAAGCTGACACCTAAATGTGAGAGTGCTATTAGTAACACACACCTGCTATGAGTGTGATTAGAGGACTATATATTATATTTATTACAACGATTAATAAAAATAAAATTTTAATCACATCAAAAACATGACATGTGGGCATGCTTTTTGTGTAAATACCTCTTTTACTGTAGCATTAATCACCCATGTGTTATCTAAACAAAGCACCCATTAAACATTTACAGAGAGTCGATTAGTCTTCATTCGACAGCTGGTTTAATCGCTCACCCGTACAGGCACAATGGGCTTGTTGAGAGGACTCAGCACAGGGGAGTGCAGTGATAGCCGCTGCCGCTTCCCGTCCATTTCAGGGACTGGACTGACAGTTTCACTTCTGGATTCGGGGCTTTTGTCCCTTTCTGGGGTTGGGTCTGTGAAGCACAAGAAAAATAAGCTAAAAGAAAGCTAAGCTCACAACACATTTCCAGTGATATGGCAGCACAAGCAACCAAGAAGCATGAAGACAGATTATATAAAACTTTTCAGAACATTTCAGATGCAGTACATTATTTACTTAAGTTACTTCCAACACCCATTTATTGTTTATGCTGGGAAACCACCATTACTTACTGGGATACTTCACTCAATGAAGTGATTCAGATATTAATACCGCTCTACCAAGCAGAGTAAGCCTGTAGCTCAGTTTACTGAGCTGGCTACGTGTGTTTTATACTGCTAATAAACTCAACAGGGAGACTCTTAATAATAGTGCCACCAGTGTATTTCCAGCAATCCAGATGAAAAATGTCTTTGGAATATGGGTCACCAGCTCATCCTAGTATGCTACACAATGCATTTTGGGTATACTGCCTTTCATGTCCCTTTTACATAAAATACATGACAAATATCAGAAAGTATATTGTCTTTGTTTTCTACATGACTTCTCAGTGGTAAGACAGGTTCAGTCACACACACTTGGATTTAAATGATAAGGATAAGGTCTGTCCAATGTCAAGTAAATAAATGAAAGAACAGAAGCCGGCCTAAAAAACTCAATTTCATGCTAATCAGTAATTTTTCCATGTAACCCACTGGTGACGGGAACAATAAAGTCTAAGATTAAAATCCCAGGTTTGATAAGAAGCAACACAAAAGAAAAACAGCATCAAACAAAAAGGAAATGAAATGTGTTCTGTATAACCTAAGCATCGTACTGCGTTCCCAAAAATGGTAACATGTTGGCGCCAGTATCTTGACTTATTACTTCATGACGCTTGTATCAAACTAACAAACAAAAGTTAGTCATGAAACCGGGAAAAGGGGGTGGTGGTGCGCACACAGATGGTT